AAAGGGCTATAACTTTGTTACTTTAATTTTACCAGAAAAATGGTAAAGGAAAAAAACATTTCTTTTGATCAGATCTACTCACTGTTAAAATAAATGACTCAACTTCGAAGTCACCCTGTATGTCACTTAGTATATTTGTTCAATTTACTCAGTTGCTTGATTATACCAACGTACGATATCTCGCTCTCCGCGTCCAAAGCTGTGTCTGCACAGATTGAACTGAACGACCTTTTTCGTTTAAAAAATCTTTTGCCTGCAAAACTGGCTTACTCAGTTTTCACAAACATGATCAACATTTTTCTGAAAATCTAGTCAAAATATGTACCGTGATGTATAAAAACTAGTGGAGTGTGCAAGAGTAATGATCCATCGAAAAACCCTTTGTCATGGTTTCACATGATTATTACAAGCATTGTCGGGACACAATTGGCCCCTTGAAGCTTTTTCATGTACGACCATGATCGTGTATGCAGAATGCGGCTAAACGTAATCCTTACTATGAAGCCACATCGTTCGAGATATTCCGCTTCTCCGATATCACTCTGTACCCGAAAACAGATCGATTTTGCTAATTATGTAGCAGTATGTTGAACAGTTTCTGTTTCGTTTCAGAATGCCTCCTTTTTCGATTAATATTTTCAAGCTTCTCAATGGAAGATTGAGAATTCAAGAGCTAACAGATTCCTGTTTTCATGATCATAGTGATAGAGGCGAACGAATGATGAAATATACAGATGGGATTGATCATTCTGGTTCGATTATTAGTATCTCAGAAAGTTGCAGTCGGCTTGCATTTTATGAAAATAACGTTGGATCAGAATAGCTGTTCTTTTTGATTGGTTGATCTGTATTAGTGTTGAATAACGCCACTGGAATAAACAAGGAATTTACGATAATGCTTTTCATTTGAATATTGTTTTTTCTACTATAAGGGAGACTTTGACAGATCGGGCACGGCACCTTAAGCTCTCTTGTTCTGATGGTGTGCCAGGAACATATTATATTACTGAAAACTTATTGACAATCTGTTTGACAAATTCCTATAGCTGTCAGAATTTGGAATCATATCCAAAGAGCATCAAGAATTTATCCCTAGAAGCTTTTGAAAGGGTTCAAGGCGGTTCATTTGAGATACGTTTTGCAGACCAGCATAAGCCTTACATATCTCTATCTGGTGTGCCCCAGGGGTCTAACTTGGGGCCCGTATTGTTTTTACTATTAATGAACTCTGCGCGAATTTGAGCTGTGATCGTTTGTGTTTTGCATAAAATCTTAATACGGACAAATGCAGGATTGTGAGCTACATTAGGTGGACGATTACTTATTTTAATTATTATAACGACGGATTGGTTTTGGTAAGGTTTAGTAGCGTTAAGGACATAGGAATCGTTTATGATGAAAAACTAACTTTCAATGATCACACTTTCCTGAAAGTATCTGATGCTTTAGGGTTCTACCGTTTTCTTGCCAGAAATGGTCGGCAGTTCTATAATATAAGGGCCCTGAAGGTCTTAATACTTCACTTACGTGTGCACTAAACTTGAGTACGCAAATTGTATGGAACCCATATTACAGATGCTACGTGAATGACATTGAAAAAGTACAAAGGAATTTTTGTAAATTTTTGTATTTTACATCTTAGGGGATTTAACCGCAGCAAGGTATCAATAACTTGGAATTATTGTCGCTGGAAAGACAAAGAGGCGTAACTCGAATTCGGCTATTTTACAGGAGACGCGATATACGCCCGTTTGTCATTTTAGCACTAGTAAGAATGGGAGATTCATCCACATACTGATTTGTCATATTACGTTAACTATAACGAGGAGCGATACGCCACCTCGTCATATACTCGTAGATATCCACTTTTGAAGATTTCTTGTGGTGCTTACTCCAAATGGGCATTTTCCAACATGCGCCCCTTTGTCTTTCCAGCGACGTTATGTGAGCGCTTTCGTGTCAAAGCATTAGAGTTGAGGAATAATATATCAGCTGCAATATTTCTTTTTAAATTATTAAATTACCATATTGATTGTCCTGAAATTTTGTCTCAAATAAATTTTAATCGCGTAACTATGTCATGTTCAAACCTGCACGAGCTAGAACCAATCTTTTAGTTTAATCTCCAATCCACGTAATATGTAAAGTCCTAAACGCCATTAGCTGTCATTGTGACATATTTCTATGTTCCCTTAGAGAATTAATTTGGATGGCGTATATGTACCAATCCTATTGTTTTTTGTCTTTTTGTTTGTTTTTTACCACTGTACTTGATTTCCTTTATTACTTGTTATTTTCATTCAATTGGCCTATATATTATATTACTGGACAATGAAGCTATTATAATTATTATTATTACTATTATTATAACGATGACTCTTAGCAACTGAGTCCTGTTGAACATATCAAATATGGTATGGCCAGAAATATTTACCTGAGGTTCTGAAAAGATTCGTCGATAATTTTCATTTGCAGTTCATATTAGTAATAATAACAATAACAACAATAACGATAATAATAATGATAATAATATTTATTATCCATTAGACATGTATAAAACATCAACAAACAATTCACAGTATGTATATACATAAAAAAAACAAACAGTAAAATGACAAGCAACAACAGACAATAGCTTAAATTAGATATTTTAAAATGGACACCATAGGCAGACAACAGCAGAAAAAATAGATTAGCTTTCCAGCAGTTAAAATTCATAAATCAACATAAATACAATACAAAAATATATAAAAGGACAAACAATAAGTGGATAACAAACAATACAAAAAAAAGAACATCTAAATATCCACAAAGTCTCTGATGGCTTAACAAGTCTTATTGATAGAGTAGGTTCTCAACTCATCTTTAAAATTATTTAAGGAGTTAATTGTATTAATATACTCAGGCAGCTTATTGAATACTTTTGGTCCTGAAATAGAGGGAGATCTACTACTCAGCTTACATCGAGCAAAGGGTAGATGAATGTCTGGCTGCCTACGTGTGTTAAATGTATGTATATTACTATTCAAAGTGAAATTATCTCTGTAAATATACGTATATATTGCGATTTCCTAAAGAAACAACAAGGTCAGTGTTAGAATTTTTAATTTCGGGAACAAGTCTCTGCAACTGTATATACTGTCAACACCTGCTATGCACCTTATTATTCTCTTTTGATTTTGAAATACCTGTTACGACCTTTTTTTTGTTGTATATAGTTGCATAGATTTTACGAATTAGAAGGTTCTCCACTACTTACTCGTTTGCTAGTTCATAGGATACGATATACTGTACATAGCATTTTAATTCATGTTTTCACCTGTTGATCCGCTCCCTTCTGGTGGACCTGCCCTAACGAGTCTGAAACAAAACTCAATAAGTAGCAGTTAATTAACTCACACTACGAGGGATGTCTTTTAAGTTTTGCATATGGAAATAAAACAACACGGTAGGTAGTTTTAAATGACTTTATTGTTTTTTGAGGTATTCTCCACGAAGATTAATACACATCTGCATGCGCTAAGGAACCAAAAACGGCATTTTTGAATGCGTCAACTGCTTCTTCTGGTGACTGGAACCTTTGACGACGCAGTCTGTTTTTAATTTTCGGGAAAGTAAAGAAATCGATAGAACTTAGATCGGAACTATATGGAGGATGGTCCAATAATTCCACGTTTTATTTCGTTAAATTCTGCATTGTCTTGGCGGAGGATGATTCTTCTTTCGGGGTTGATTTTTCGAAGCTCGGTGATGACTTTTGGCAAACAAATGGTGGTATACCAATCCGCAGTAACAGTTCTTTGCTCATTAAGAGAAATTGTTGCAATATGATACGCTTTTGACACAAATGTCGCGACCATCTTTTTCGAAACACTTCGAGAACGGATGACTTTTGTTGGCTTTACTTCACCTTGGAACACCCAAACAGCCGACTGTCGTTTATTTTCTGGTTCATAACAGTAAATCCACGATTTACCACTACTAACAATGCTGTACACATTTTTTGAGCTTCCGGAATTGAAACGGTCAAGCGTTTTTTGACACCGATTAACCCTGGCTGCTTTCTGCTTTTCAGTCACCAGTTGGGGTATCCAACGAGAAACTAATTTTCTTACTCCTAATTCTTCATTTAAAATTTTTTGGATTGAGGTCTTTGAGATCTTCAAGGACGCCTCAATCTCGCGATATGTCACATGCCTATCTTCAATGATGAGTTTGCGCACAGCATCGACGTTTTCCTGGGTGACTGCCGTTTTTGGTGCACCCACCCTGGGATTGTCGCTAAGACTCACCCGTCCACGTTTGAATTCTCCGTACCAACGGGAAATTGTCGACTGATGTGGCGCTTCGAAAACAGACAGTAACTCAGCAGGGCATTCTTGTTGCGATAATTGTCTCTGAAAGTTCTCGGTTGAGTTCCATTTTTCTAATGTCCTGGTGACACTTGAAAATTCACTGTAGTGAGAACACCGCACGTGTTGTTGTAAAACTTTGAATTTAAGTTTACTGAAGAGTGAGGTTAAGATTCAGTACTGACGTTCGATCCGCGCGGCCTACTATGTTTCTATATGCAAAACTTAAAAGACATTCCTCGTATTGAAGTCAAATTACTTGTTCCCTTTCATAAATTAGTGCCACTGAAGCAATCCTAGTCATTGTTTACAATTTTATAACCTTAATAGCAATGAAGTTTGCAAACAGGTGTCAAGTCGGCTGTCAGTGTCAAAGGTGAGAATGATAGCATGTCAACTGGCGTGGAAATGTCAGGCGCAAGAAGTAAAAAAAAGAAGGGATCGCCATTGCAAAATGTTCGGTACCGAACAGCGTCCGTTACGCAAGGGTGGATATGGTACCGGAAAATAGCTGAAAGAGAAATCTACACAATTCCAAGTGCTATAGGCGCACCACTAGTATTGTGGGATTATTAGGTTTGGGACATTTCCCTTTGCACAAAAGTCCACCCTACACCCTAGGTAGGTAGCTTACCTTTTTTTTTTTGATGCCTTTTGCTGATGCTAGAAGCACTCATGTAGTGCCTGATTAATTGCTTTGAAGTGCATGTAGCTTATGCTTGACTTTTGTTCACAGGCCTTTTTCGTTTTATTTACTCTGTTTCTTCTTCACTTCATCTTTTGCTTCCTGCTGCATACCTACATTTGACCATCTGAGGGCTGGTTGACACCAGCAGGTGACCTCCAACAGGTGATTCCAGAAATTGCAGGTCAGATTAGGCTGTAAGGTTTATTTATGCAAAACTTCAGGTTTCTGGACAGCTGAAATATAGAGCACCCGATTTGTTGCTGTAACATTATCCATTAGGTTAAGAGCACTTGTATATGTTTCACCTTTCAGTGCGCATACTTACCATAGGCATATCTGGGGGCCCATCTTCTTTAATAACACATGAGCTTGCCCAGCTGGTTGTGTAAAATGAGACATAGCATATCCGAATGTAAGTGTTACGACTTCGTGAAGTCCTAGGAAGTAAGGTAGCCGACCTCTCTTTTGTGAGATCCTTGTACATAGCATACGGCGTTATCTTTTCAGGCAATATATAACGTTTCAATCTGAACTTGATTTCTTCCATTGTTGACAATTTCGACAGACAATTCGACGTTGACAATTTGTCCCGTGGAACCACGGAACTTCATACAGAACTGGACTCCCTGATACAACGATTGTAGAGTAGTAGAGGTACTTTTTATAGTTCAAGTTATGGAATCCTGATGATTACCATTTCAAGGGTACGGCGAACACCGTCTCGATGCGCTTTTGATTAACGTCGTCCATCCGGTTTCTAGTTACAGCTTTAGGTTATCTTCGTGAGAACATTACCGACTTTACATTTTTCTATGTTTTATTTCTTATAATTTCTTACATCCTAGGCATTCCTAGACTAGTTGGCGGCTGATCAACGATCACTCCGTCGTCTCGACCTCCCTCACCCGTAGCATTTGGCGCCAAGCGTATCACTGGCGGCCAAAAAAGTAACACACCTTTGAAGCATTCACCGAGGATCCCCAGAAACACAATGCATACCGCATTCGCGACTCGATATGACTGTCATATAACATCAATAACTGTTCTCAGATTTTTTAAAAGGTAGTCCTGTGAGCTAAGCTTCGCGGACAGGTAGTCACAATGTCCTTCAAAATTGAGGCACTTATCCAGGTGCAGTCCCAACAATGTTGTGCTCTCACTAATGGGCAGGGCTGAATTATCCATTTTTGGGCATCAAGCTGTTTTTTTCCACAGTTTAGATGCAGCTGGTTCTCAACGAATTAGCTATTGATGCTATGTAACAAGCTATTATAGTCGTTAATTAGGATAACGTCATCTTTATTTGATAGAATAATCCATGTGTCGTCCACGTATAAGGTAAAGTGTGCTCTGGGGAAGGACTGCTCAAGGGTCTTTACATATCACGCAAACAGAACAGGCCCCAACGTCGATCCTTGTGGAACGTCAACATCCATAGTAATCCCACTAGACTTGACTTGCATTAGTTGTCCTGAGCAGTTTTGAGTTATTGTCTCATACCGTGATCTGTTCTCTAAGAAGGATTTCGAGGGATCAGGTTTATCCAACAAGTTTTAAGCGGTCACAGTGATGACTCGGCTTTCTATGCGAACCCCAGCAGAACGCGCGATGCGAACGGCGAAGCGTCCAGCGACTGAAATAAACGCATAGAAATGTGCTTGTCAAGCCACTCACAACGGCGAATAGCGAGGCGACTGGCGAATTGTACCGATCGAACCGCTCCGGTGACTGGTGAAATAAAGGCATGAATCAGTACGGCGCAAGCCACGGAGTCAAGCGACAGTGATCAAATGATTTTAGTTTTTTCGCCGTGAAAAATGAACAGCGAGGCTTTTATTACTGAAATACTTGCTAGGCCAGCTATTTGGAAATCTGAACACCCACTGTACACAAATAAATCACATAATTATTGTAAAGTATTCGAATTTCATAAAATATCATTATACAGGGTGACATTTAATTAGCTAATCATATTTTGAGCGACGATAGTTCTGAAAAAAATCCTCTTGCGACTATATGTATTTGGCGGAAAGTTGTTCATACGTACTATCATGACCCAATACAGGCTCAGCTAATTAAATGTCATCCTTTATACAGATAGGTACATACCTTAATGTTAAAAATAATTTTTCAGCGGCGCTTAAAATTCTATCTGCATTGATTTTTTTTCAGATTCTGTTAGAATATTAATTAGGACATGATCGATAGTTTCGATACTCATTCTAGTATACTTGAAATATATTTCTGGATACATTCTGTATTTCTCGTAGGACTTCTTGTGGAATTTTCGATCTCTACGCCGATTCCGATTAAATTCACCTCTTTCAAATATTATGTATTGGACCCCAAAAATTATTACTTTCTAAGCAGTATCGAGATAACGTTGATAAAGGCATTTGTCTCTCGGCCTATACTGGTCGCAGCGGCGGACGTGACTGCTCGCTTCCCGCATCGTCATTCGCGTCGCCCATCCCAGTGGCCAAGACGATATACACATTTTACACAAAAACGGGGTCTATTTTTGGTCAATAGAAATTGCTTACGCGCTCTACCCCCTTCCATTCTTTTTTAAGCCACACTAATGCACCAATCTGTACTAACGCATTATATTTATATGTTGGAGTATATAACTTGTCACTGATATAACAGTACTAATATAAAAACGAGTATAAAAAATGGGATGATCATGGTTGCGATCTGGGCGTCGAAGATAAGCAAGATTTCGCTCATATATTTTCAGAGCAAACTGGCAATATAAAGTACAGCCATCGGTTATCTGTTCAGGAGGGTGTAAAATAGAATCCTCTCATGGAACGGTCGGACGATAAGGTATTTATTTCAGTTACACCGAAGGTAACTATCATCTATTGTTATTCTGGCCAGACGATGCGCAGCAATGTTTCTTCTGTCACTAACAACTCGGTTCGCGCTGGCAGGGAGACAGTCATTTTTCAGCTGGAATATTTTCCAATTCTAAGAATATGGTGTGACTAAGATGACGTCTATGGCGTCAATCATAGTACATGAACGCTGTTTTATAGCTAAACAATTAAGACAATATAACATATTTAGCTCTTGCATGTTCGCTTAGAACATACGGATGGTGAGGTCCCATATAAGGAACCATTTGGCATTTAGCTGGGGTTTCAATGGGCAAGCTTCTTCCTGTCATGCTTTAGGCGTCAAGGGTCGTTAGCTATAATGTCGGCTACCATATTCCTCATGGTAAAAGGAAATCGATACTTGCGATCTTATCCTCTCAGCCAATTTTTCACATACATCTGTATACATATATTGCAAATTAATGCTTCTGGATGTTTGAGAATTGCTTTACTGAGTCTCCGTGCTTCCATGCCAAACAGAAGACATATCCGATCATATCCAAAGGTTTAAGTTCCTCGCAACTGCATAAGATATTTTTTATTTTCATGAGGGCGGCTCTTCCTCGTATCATTCTGATTTCTATCTCAATAGTTGAATCCCGATTTTCGTTAGACACGTTCCAAACCAAATTAAAATTAGCAACATATGTTTGAGAAAGGCATAAAACAGTATATAGAGTTGACCAATGCACTTTGAACAGGTACTGTATTAGTGAATGTATATGTGTTACATCAACGGGTGACAAATGCGAACATACATCCACTCTAGTTATTTCCAAGGTCTTTGACAATTACACAATGTCATACGATATGAGCAGATTGACTAACTGTATCAGCGCGGAGCTTAACTTCCCTAAGGGAAACTGCACCAGCTGATCCTCAACGCAGCTAACACTCGCTCTTGCGCACACACGTTTCCACTCACATTTCGAAAACGGTCCATTAAATTCAACACAAATTGTCGACGGTTTAATTGTATCTACAGGCATTCCTATGATTTATATCGATAACCAACAAAATGTAAACCCAAATTGCACGCACATGACACGCAAGTAGTCATATTCTCAGCGACAAGCATAAATGTGGAAGACAAATTTTAAATGCAATGACATATGGATGCATTGAAATAATACTGTCACTTGCCAAAAACCAAGCTTGCATTTTATACTCGTAGATGTTCAGTATAATCACTTATACATTGCTAATCGAACTCTGGGTACCGAATCTTTTCTTCCAGTGTCAGTAATCTCGGTGACTTTCTACCACATGGGTTATTGACTTTCCGGGGAAATTCTTCCTCTTCTCATAAATTAATTTTTGGCCGCTCCTACATCAAGGCCTTTCCATCCCATATACACTTAATTTCTTATGCATGCCTTGCCTGATACTGCTTTTCCTCTGGTTACGTAGTGAAGAGACCAACATATTTCTAATACATTAAAACCCTATTCTAAGTTTTACAGTACTTTGTTTGTCGTCAAAATTACATGATCAAACGAACTTACCAGTAAGTGATGTTCGGTCTTAGTTATGTGAAGTCCTCGTCGAAGTATATATCTAGAATACATATCGTAGTAATCTCGTAGTAGTACGCACCGCGCCCTTTCCCCCTACATTTCTCCCCTAAATAAACCTTGATTCACTTCAAAGCCAAGTTGTTGCAACAATTGGGCGATAGAAAGGGAGAGAGGGAGCTATTTACTTCGACGAGGACTTCACATAATTGAGATCGAACATCACTTACAGGTAAGTTCGTTTGATCATGTAATTATGTTCCGTACTCATCGAAGTAAATATCTAGAATACATATCGTAGATGTTCAAAGCAAGTTGCATCATCTACTGACGCTCTGTAATAGTAAACCATAGGTTGTACACAACTACACAAATTGTACGCCATGTATGTGTCAACTAAATGTTCATTTTCATTGTAACAGTTCAAGTTAAGGCTTTCAGCAACAGGAAATATGACGTATCTGGTTCAAAAATTACCATCCATTTCATGGTAATGAGCAAATAACGTAATAACATAGTTATGTTTAAGGTGTGGAAACTTGGTTCACCTCAAATGCCGCTTCAGTGGGAGCGGCGTCCTGGGTCTCTCCATCAGACACTTGCGTTACTTTTAGAAGGTGGTATTATGGCCCCTGCTGTTAATTTGGCCCCCCTTTTAATTTCATAGAAACCGGAGAGCCATCTATGATTTTTATAGTAAACAACACAAATCGGTCCTCAAACAATATTTAGAAGAAAGAAGATGTTCGACTTATCGACAGGTTCGGCCAGTATTGCCAATTCCATGGTATCGTGCGTAGTAGATAATTTCGTTGGTGATCGGTTCAACTCGTTTTTGTCTGGGCAGTTGGTTTAGAAACATATTTATTGTATTCTGTACAAAGATAAAGGGCTAATAATAGCTGTGTTACGAAGGTAGGTACGTGAATAATAATAATTTTTTTTTTTTTGGTGACGTGTTTACAATACACCCATGTATGTAATATGGCCCCCTATAAAAGCTGGAATTATGGCCCAGGGGGCCATATTAAATACATTTTTGCGGATACTTTTATATATTTATAAATAAACTCAACGCTAAATTCGGCTCTTAATTTATTTTAAATTGTTGTAGATGCCCCGAACAATTATGTCTACAAAGAGGGATAGGAAGAGAAAGACGTGGAGCTCCGATCAGATGACAAGGGCAGTTGAAGCTGTACGCACTAGGTCTGTGGGTTTTACAAAGGCAGTGAAAAGTTTTGGTGTGCCAAGAACTACTCTAAGAAGGCTCGTACATAATACTGAGTTGTCGCCAGAGCTAGTTGTGCAGAAGCCCTTAGGTAGAAGGCCTGTGTTGCCACCTTACCTAGAAGAAAAATTAGTGGAATATATATTGCACATGGAGCAAATATTTTATGGCTTAACTCGAATGGATGTCAGAAAAATAGCCTACCAGTTGACAGTTCAAAACAATATTCCCAATCCTTTTAAAAATGATATAGCAGGTCGAGCATCGTTGGATCATTTTCTTAAAAGATACAAACATCAGTTGTCTCTCAGAAAACCTACGGGAACCTCTTATGCACGAGTTCAAGGTTTTAATCCAGCAGCAATAAATAAGTTTTTTGATATTTTGGAAGCCGAATACATAAAATGCCAATACCCCGCAGATCGCATCTACAATGTAGATCAAACAGGCATCACCATTGTACAAACAAAAATACCAGCAGTAGTGGGTCGAAAGGACAAAAGGCAGATCGGAGCTTTAACTGCTGCAGAACGCGGTTCGTTGATAACCATAGTTAGTGCAATGAGCGCTGGAGGCACTTTCATACCGCCAATGATGATATTCCCCAGGAAGAATTTTTCAGATGTTTTAATGAAAGGAGCGCCCCTGGTGCACTTGGAAGGGTACATCCTTCGGGATGGATTCAAACCAATTTATTTACTGAATGGTTTGAGCATTTTTTAGAAAAAAACCACCCAACAGAAAACTCTCCCATACTTCTTATACTCGATGGAGATTACAGCCACACTCGAAACCTTGAAGTTTTGCAACTTGCTCGCAAAAACCATGTTACTATTATTAGCCTGCCCCCCCACACAACGCACAAGCTCCAGCCTCTTGACCGCACATTCATGGGAGCTCTTAAATCTTACTACAGTGAAAAGATTCGAAAATTTTTGTTGCATTCTGACAGACTTCTAAAGCCACATGACATTGCAGAGTTATTTGGGAAAGCTTATTTAAGGTATGTAACAGGTGAGATAGCTGTAAATGGCTTCACCGGTATATATCCATGCAATCGCCACATATTTACCGAGGCTGACTTCCTGGGACAACCTCAACTGCGATCAACAGTATCGACATCACCACATAACACATCGGCAATAACAACAGTGATAGAACCATTAGCAACAGATGTACAGCCTGGGCCCTCGACAATCAATGATCATGTAGAAAACACGATTCTCAATAATCATCCCGGTTCTTGCGCTTCTGAATCATCTTTTGTTTTACTGCATGATATATCAACTATCCCGAAGCCCAAAACAAAGACTTCAACTCGAGGACGCAAAACATCATCGGCAGCTGTACTTACAACGTCAACTTACGTAAGGGAATTAGAAGCATCCATGAAAAAAACTACAGAGGCAGCAGCTGGACGCGGTCGCGTAAGCAGTCGCGGTCGACGTAACTTTAGGTCAATTGCAAAAGTCCCCAGAAGAGCCCCTAGTCCTAGTTCAAGCAGCAGTTCTGACAGTAAAGAAGATGTTCTTCCAAGCAGTGGTGATGATTCCGATGTTGATGAATCTTTGCAAGGGGCAGTTTCTGAGAACAACGATGCAACTTGTATTTTTTGTGACCGCCGTTTCTCTGATGACCGAAAGGGCGAAATATGGGTCCAGTGCCAAAGCTGTGCGATGTGGGCACACAATGAGTACTCTGGAGCCGAACGAGAATATTACATATGCGATTTTTGTAGATAAAACTTTGAGAGCTTATTGCGTTTCTACTATATATTTTGATCGGCAATATGGCCTCCCCCTACTTCGAAAAAATGAATGTTTGCAAGAGTCACAAAAATATATTTTTCTGGAAACATTTTTGATTATTATTTTTTCACTTATAAGACCCCTTACTCTTGAATTAAAATGTGGGGCCATAATACCACCTTCTCCTCTACCTACCGAAGCGACAGACGTATATACATCGGAGTGCTTTCTTGTTTTCTGGGGATGATATACAAGTTGCTAATCATACTGGGTGTACTCACGGAGAGCAAGGTAAAAATAATGAGTTGCGATGTGAATCGCTCAGTTATTGTTAATTAACTGGGAAAAATTAAATAAACAAAGACAAGAAAGTCAATATTCATCAACGGTACAGCATATGAACACTTTTGCTGAACTCTTGATTTTCGAAGGCGAAAAGTACGAAAAATTACCTCCATCAAACAGCAGCAATGAAGGAATACCTGATACTGGAAACTTTGCATGAATTCTACTCAGCTTTCTGAAATATTTGTGATCCGAGCAGATCCTTGTCTAAAGCCAAATACTTACCTAATTTTACATAATATGGAAATTACTGTTATTATATAGTTGTCACTATAATTATCAAGTAAAAGGATTTGGAAAGAAATTTTATTAATTTGTAATTCATAGTCTCTTTGGCCAACTGGGCTTTCTCAATAGAATCTCCTGGCACTAATGTGAGGACATAAAATCATTATTTATGACATTTCCTAAGAACTACTGGATTCAAAATTAAGATATCTCAAATTTAAAGTTGCAGTTGACCCTTTTCATTATCCATCAGAACATTAGGTTTATCTGCAAAATCTTTTATATTTGGCAATGTTGAGATGTACTCTCTTAACAAACTTCAGATCTATACTGAGCATTCAAAGAAACCAGAGATAGAATCAAATAAATTAAAATTGCCTCAGAGCCCAATGTTGAGGTATGCACATTTCCATTTGCAACGCCACTGACTATAAGATATTAACATTTGATAATAAAAAGGTCTGCTCCTATTCACACTAAACTGCGTTTTGCCTTCCACATGAACCTTTACCATCTTCAAAAATTGTCTGGAATACTACAATTGTATGGAACCCACTCATTTTTGTATGTTTTCGCAGGAAAATACGAATTTAATGTAAAACGCCAGCATATGTCAAATGGGGATGATGATATCATTATTTTTGATACAGTTAGTAAGCATCGTTTTTTTAGATAACGCCCCGGATATGGATACGAAGTTCAGTATAAGGGCTACATCCTCCTGCTATGGTGCAGTGGAGGATGATATTTATACTCGTACTCCACAGAATATCATACTAGTATAACCTGAATGCTCTAAATATCCTGAAATAAATGTATGTTCCGTTTCGTAAGCGTGGCTTTTACATAGCGATTAGAGACAAGTAGCATTTCGATAACAAAGAAAAAGTCCCAGATCTAAAACGGAATATAGATTAGAGGGGCAAACATATGGAACTGAACTACTGAGCACAGAAGCTACTGTTTTCGTCATGTCAAACTCAGAGACTCCAAATCTATAACTCATATAAGATCTCTGTAAAATGCATCAGGGTATTTCTTGTTAAATCAACATCTAAATTGGCAATTTCTTCAACGTTCTCTTACACGCCAAACACACTGTAGTTCCTTGTAGATTTAAATTGATCATTTCGTGGTTATGGCGGTAATGCTTCCCTAAATTAGATGTTGTCTGACATTTTGGATCTCGAAGTTCGACGGAAAATTAGACTGGATGTTGTTTCGTGTTTTCAAAAACCTAATAAGAGAAATACAATTCATCCTTAGCCGCTGGAAAAGAATGTCGCCGAAATCACCCATTGTTCTCGGAGGCGTGTATCTGTACACGAAGTTGAAAAGTAGCTTTTGAGAAAGGTGAACGAATGAGCTTACAGCAAAGGTTCTTCGATTTGAGAGATATTAGGGTTTTGTTATGCATAGAAGCATTGTGAGCAGCTTACTTCCAAATTAAATAAGAAAATATTAACATGATCCTTGTAAGTCACTTCGAAGAGGTTAGACAGGCGTTTGATACTAAATTGATAAATTGAGGTCTAGAATAGCATATTTCACACTTTATAGAATACTAAATGTCTCCTATTTCGGAAACTATCATCTTTAGCGTAATGCTTTTTTATTTAGAATGGCCCAAAAAATCTGAAAAACCTTATCAGAAGCGAAATAGGTTTTTCTGATAAGTTCTTTAAATAATTATTTGAACAATTTTTGACAAAAGTTATAGGCCCGGCAACATGGAGAGTCAGAATAGTCTTTTCTGCAGATCCGAAGATTTCACATCACACATATTTCTATTGCCTGATCTACTTCGTAAAATTACTGTTAGACTGTCACGGTGATAGTGACGGAAATCCTACCAAACTCAACGCCCTCTTTTTTTGACAGGCTTATTTCTCTGGTAATAGTCTGTGACAGGATCAAAAGATAATAAGCAGTAACATGGGTTTCTGGAGTTACCTACTTCATATCCGATCAGTTTCGAAGAGTACAACAGATGTTGACAGATCATCCAATAAATTCGGTTTAATGGGCTTTCCCGATCCATCGTCCCAAAATTCTCTTTCAAGAAAAGCAGCAGTATCAAATACCCAGTCCATTGTTATTCGATTCACCACGGCAATTCCATTCAATCGCCAACACCATATAAACATCATATAACCAGCGGCGAAAGAGCTTTTATAGCGGATACAAAGTTTGTAGTATCGGCATACATTGTCTCGGAAATTTTCAGTCTTCGTAGGGGGAAAACAATGCAAGGTTCTATACACAAATGTACGTAGGTTCGAAGTATCTGATTTACAAGCATTTAAAGTTCAACGTCAATACTCGCAGTGTGCGATAGACCGAATTGAAACTGGAGTTTGGATATTTATCGTTAAAGTCTGTGGTACAATCAATGTGCATTACTAATATAAAGCATTGCAGGTACTTTTCTTGGGCGTGTGTTGCACAAAACGCATCTGGCTGACACCTGACCATGCCAGTCAGACTTGTGTCAAGCAACCGAAACAATGCGGTAACACGACCAGAGCTGCGAGTTATCATTGTATTCATTGATAGCATCTTGATCATATACCGGTTATGTTTGAATCGCCGCCGTTTAACTGATTTATTGACATTGACTGTTCTTTACAGCAATCGTGATAATGACACCTTTATTTGGAGGGAGCGACATGCATAACGAAGAAAACTAAATCAAACTCCGCTCATGCAGCGGACAAAAAGGGAAACACCGTTGCCTGATAGAGAGATATAATAACAAACTTTATTTAGCAAAAGTTGTTATTTACTACATCAACCAACAATTTGTCGCTCACAGCAGCTCATAATAAAAAAACTAATTCAACTAAATCTAATTATAATAAATTTACAGATTGATACTTCTCATATGCATGAAAAGTGGTTTTATAAAATGACATACAGTCTTTGCTTCCTTTATTTGATCTGGTAACTTACTATGTCCCCTCAGGCCCTTGTACATGTTTGCTCCCATTGTGCACACTATTGGTTTAGTTGAATGAAATGAATTTCATTGTATCTTTTGTATTTTTAATTTAAATGTCATGGTAATTAAGTAAAGGCGTTGGTTCACAACCACTATAGAGCTTTTAACATGTCTTTAATTTTTGTGTATCTATTGCCTTAAAAAAGTGACGATATTCTTATATCTTGTCGTTTTTGTAATGTTCCTATTTATTATATTCATAATAGTCTCCTTCAGAGTTTATACAGCGACTTACATGCGCCAAAAGATTTTCGAATGATGATTTTAGATCATTGACCGGGATTTCCTTCAAAATGGTCGTCGACTCTACGTCGGCATACCGCGGTCCCTTCATGGCCAAATGTAGTTTACCGAACAGAAAATAGTCACGGGTTGCCACATCAGGAGAATATGGGCAGAGG